GTGTTAGTGTTTGATTCACTTTATTTCACTTTACATTAGGAAGGGATACTGAATATACTGGATGTTTATTATATGAGGAGAAAGGTTCAAATGAATATGTAGCAATATTTACTGTAGCTAAAGATACAGGCACACTCTATGATGTAAGTATATTATAATGAGGTATATTGTGTACATGATGTGTATTAATGTGTATATTTACAGTATAAGAGAAGGAAGCTCCCTGGAGCTGAGTTAGATTTTGGTATCAACTTTACATTTGTCCAGCAGCAAGACTCTACACTTACCTCAAGAGGTGATTATATTGAATTGAAGTTTGATACTCCACAAGTTAAGCCAACCACTGGATGGATTATTGAACCTTACACAGTACCTTGTAGAGTAAGTACTAGTATCATGTATATATATAATTAATGTGTGTGGGTGTGTATCAATAGATATATAGAAGTGATGTTGATATGGTTGGTACACCTGGTTATCCTGACCCTCCCTCCTCCAGTATATCAGTACATGCTACACCTGATGCTGTTCTTAGACTAGGGTATAGAATACCAGTGGAAGGTGTCGTTACACGGGATACATTGTACATTAAAAGGACATTGAGAAGAGGTAAGATAGATGGGAGTGGGCGTGGTCTAGTATTAATAACCACACCCATTACACTACTCCCAATGCTGGTACTAATATAATGATATTCATACCTTTAGTATTACGTTTTATTTTGTTTTATTCTGTTTTATTCGTGTTTTACAGTGGGACCTTGCTTAACAATCACCCCTAAGTAACGGCCGTCTATCATATAACGGCCAAATGTCGAGGTCCGGATGCAAACTACACTTACTTGCCTGTTAAGGCAACCCCTGAAGAACGACCACCTCTCTATTGCGTATAACGAGCACTCAAAATGTCCCCAACACAACACAAAGCATTAAGAAAAACTTCTCTTTAACGGCCACGTGGCCACACCCATCACCTAGACCAGATGTTTTCATCATAAAACGTCAATTGTAGCCCCGCCCATCTAAATAAAATGACTGAAAACTTGAGCATGCCCTTTCTTCTTGCTGTAATTTGCTTATTTTCCCTGCTACCTCTTACATACTACCTGCAGGATCTTTGTACTTGTTATTGACCTGAGGAATGAATCAAGAGACTTAAGAAGGCAACACAGTTAAATATCTCTTAAGTTAGACACTTTAAACTGAAACCCCTCAATAAAGACCACCCCTCTATAACAGCCAAAGGACCAGTTCCCAATGGTGACCGTTATACAGAGGTTCCACTGTATTCCGTTTTATTCTGTTTTATTCTGTTTTATTCTGTTTTATTTGATTTTATTCTGTTTATAGTATAAGTATTGTATTAATAAATAATAATTTAATTGACCATTGACACATACCCTGAACCATCCTTATGATTTTAATAATTAATTTATGTTCCATTACTCCATAGGTCCTCTCTTAGACATTAATGATTTACAGTATGTACTTGAATCATTGAATGAAGCTGGCTTCTCACAGAGGGAATGGAAACCTCTTGGTCGTGATTTAGGATTAAATCCATATTCTACACTGAGGACTATTGAGGCAGAGTATCCTGGAGATAAACAAGGATGTCTTAGGCAGTGTCTAGTGAAATGGTTAGAGAGAGTTGATGATGTTGATGTTAGAGGAGGTCCAAGAATGTCCTCTCTATGTGCTGCTCTTGAGGACATTGGTGAGAAAGCAGCAGCTGATTATATCAGTAAGTTATTATTATTATGATAATATTAGTCCTGGGTGATGGTAGTAATACCACTGTCACGATATTTAGTAACTCTAATATCACGATAGTGAACATACATGTATCACGATAGTTCAGCCATAGTGTTTACATGTGGAAATACAATGATTTATTTAAGGATGTAGTCATTGTACTTAACTAATGCATTATTAATTTGTATAATCACACTATACATCCATAATAATACTAGCTAATTTAAATTTATTTCATCCAAATTTTCAGCGAGAAACACTGTCCCACTTCACATCCTGCTAATGTAGCAGGGACAGTGAAAACCTTGAATCAAGCTGTGCTAGCAAGTCATACCACTCTATGAGTGGAAGTTGCTATTGATTAGAAGATCATTGCAGCTGTCAAGTGTCATTTATGCGCATGCTCCATGCACACCTGATTACTATCATGATAGTTAGAATAACTGTATCACTATCAGGATAGCTGTACACTGCATATGTATTGTGTATTGTCTTATGTGAAGTTTCTTTTTTATGTTTATTTTTAGGAAAGAATATTTTTAATAAAGATTCTCCAGGTATTATAATATTATTATTATCACTCAATAAATATATTTTATGTATTTTTACTGACATTTGGTGAATGGTGGAACATTTCAGCTGTCACATGTCATTGAGCATATTATGAATAATGAAATAAAAATTTATTGACAGTTTCTTCACCAATTTACAAAATTAATAATATTAATGTTATTTCTTAATTTAATAATAATAATAATATTAATTAATTTAAAAAAATTTTTGTCTGTAGAGTTACGTCACTATCGTGAAGCACTCAAGACACTCGTGAGGTGTCATCTTACGAAAGCTGTAGTTCAAGGAGAAGCTCGTGTTGGTAAAACCTGTTTCAAGTCACTTCTACTGGATGACAAGTACGTCAAAGCAAGTACCGGTCTTGCTGA